GCCCAGTCCCCTCGCAGGGGTCCCGCCAGCAATGGACCCACCAGCCGCACGGTGCAGTGGTACCCCCAAATTACGCTTGACCCAGTTCCCCTGCAGGCAATCAACCCGGTATTCACCCTTCTTGTGCCCCTCCACCATAAACCACAGCACCCATCCCTTCATCATCCTGCCCCTCTTCATCCCCAGAAACTGTTCCTTCCCAACTTCTCCCTCTCCACCGCCTCTGCCCGCCCCCCACAAGCCGTGTGTCCCTCCAGCCCCCTCCGTACTCCATCATCGGCCCCCCCAGCTCATGGAGAGGGGCTGGGCTGGGCTCTGCAGAGCTCCTCTCTCTCCTGGGATGGGGAGAGGGCTCTGTCCGGCTGGGTGCAATTGACAGCTCCAGTGGAGAAAGGATGCAGAGTGGACATTCTTGGCGGATGGGGGCCAAAAGGGCCAGCTTCACGCTCCATCACCGGACCCCTTATGAATTCCTTCCATCCGACACAAATCCCAGACTGGTAAGGAGGAGCAGAGGCAGACATGAGCCCTACATCCCATAGAAAGCAGTGCTGGAGAGGGGAGCTCTGTTTCCACCCCCTGAACATGTGCTCACTGCAGGGTGAATTGGGTAAACTGAGGCACAAAGAGTGGTACCAACAGCTCTTTGTTTCTGTACTGGTGAAGGTGGGTAAGATGTGATCTGGGCCRAGCATGTGCGGTGCCTTGTGGAACCTGCCAGTTCCTGGGCTTGTCTGTGGTTCTTCCTTCCCCAGCTCACCCAGGGACCCACCACCCTCTCCATCCTCCTCCTCCGTGGCAGCAGGCCCGTGTTTGGCAGAGCTGTGCTGAGGGATGGAAAAACCCCACTACTGAGGGGGTCAGGGCTGTCACCCTAATCTTTGGGTGCTTGCCTGCACCCCGATGCTTGGCTGGTGTTGCTCTTGCTGCCCAGGCACTGCACACAGGGCACACAGCAATGCCATGCAGCCCTGGCAAGGCAGCCCTGGTGCAGAGGCGAGCTGGCAGCTGGGTTCAGCTCCACTGCTCCTGATGTTGCTGAGCATCACKGAATGCTGCGAGGGTGGGGGACCAGGCCAGGGCTGAGTATCACAGGGTACAGTGATCCCACAGTCTTTCTGGGCTCCTGTGATATTTTACCACACACAGGGGAGAAAGGTTTCCCAGCATCTAGATGGAATTTCCCTTGATGCAACTTGCACTGGGTGCCTGCCCTTGTTTCGCCGTACACCTCCCCAAAGAGCCTGCCTCCCTTTTCCTGTAACTCCACCTAAATAGCTGCAGGCAGCCAGCAGTTCACCCCAGAGCCTTCCCCTGCCCCAGGCCCAACAGGCTGATGATCTTGAACCACAGTTTCTCCAACACCCCAGATTAGTGATGGGAAAACCCATAACTGAGATGCTCTGCACGCCAGGGGACCCCAGCTGCAGGTGGTGGGGGGCTGTTCCCAGGCTCCATCACCCTTGGAGAGGAGGTGCCTCAGCCTCAGCAGGACATGGGCTRTGGGGTCCACCCATGCCCCTTTCCCAAGAACTCACCCAGGGGAGCAGGAGCAGACACGGCAGCTCTCAGTCCTCGCAGGTCCCCACTGTGCATCTGTAGGGGATCCAGGGACAGCCCCTGTCTGTCACATCATCCCCAGACAGATCCCCCGGGGCCTTCCTGCACTCCTGGGTGCCTCCACCCCTGCACTGCATTCAGACGCTGACTCAGCTCCGGCAGCCCCGAGCTGGGGCCCCATCGGAAAACCTGTGATGCCACCAGCGCCCCAGGGAGCGCGGGGCCGTGATGGAAACAGGCAGCTTCCCCMGAGGGCAGCAGCATCCCAGCCTGCTCCTGGGCCATGTTTGCTGACGGGCAGTGAGTTTGCGTGTGCTTCCCCTACAAAAGCTGGAAACCCAACGGAAAAACCAGACAGATTCGTGTTGTTTCCTCTCTCTCTTCAGGCAGGTTTTCTCAGTATTTCTGCAGAAAAATAGGGAGTTAATTTGTTCCCAGTACCCCGGGGTGAAAGAGGATGTGCTGGGAAGAACGGGGCTGTTTGCCAGAGATGCTCGTGCAAAGCCCTCGGCATATTCAGGAGCACAGTGAGCATCACTGGCAAGAGCCCTGAGCTACAGCAGGGGGAAACTGGAACAAGGCACAGAACAAGGAGTGGTCACACAGCCACCTTGTGTGTGGTGTGAGCAAGGGAAGGGCAGCGGGATCTGCTTTTGAGGGGCTCTTGCAACACTGCTGCTTTAGCCTCTTGGGAGCTGTGGGTTTGCAGCCACCTCTGCCAGCTCCCACGTGGGCCCGTGGGCAGGGAGAGATGCCAAGCATCCTTCCATGACCCGTTTCGGGTGACAGAGGCGTGTTCTCCTCACGGCCATTAGAGAGCAGCACCGCTATGGCGCCGTGCCTGGCCATCACTGCGCCCTCAGCACAGCCAGGCCAYCCCAGGAAGGGGTGCCTGGGGACCGAGGGGCAAGGATGGTGGTCCCCAGCGGGACGGTCTGGACTGGCAACTGTGGGCAGCTGCAGGGGACTGACATTTCAGGGCTGCTTCAGGGGCATTGGGACACAGGGCTGGGCTGGAGCTAAGCATGGCCTAGGGGCATCTACCCAGAAACAGCCTGGCCAGAGAGCTCTCCTGCATCTTCTGCTGCTCCCTGCGTGCCCAGCGCCCCACCTGGGGTGGGCTGTGACCCCTTTTGCCTGGGCCCTGACAGGGTGAAAGGGTCTTGGGGAGCATCTGCCAGCATCCAGATTTGCCGCAAGGGAGAGCAGGTAGGAAGGGAACACAAGGAACACGTGGGCTTTGAAATCCTTCCATGGGCCACAGCCTTTCCATGGGAAGGATGTGTGAGGTCCCCAGACGGTCGTGTGACACGCACTGTTGACACCTGTAAGGTGAAACACCCTTGTGTGTTGTGTGTGTATTTACAGATGTTCATGGGGAGGGGGCTCTGTGTGACCTGGGAGACAGGGGAGGGAGCTGAGGAGGGCGCTCTGCATGCTTGTGGGGTCTCGGTGTGACTGCAGGGAACCCGTGACTCAAAGGGAGGTTGTCTGTGGGCGGGGGGGTGCATCTATCGCGGGGGTGTCACTGTGCGGAGGAGGCAGCGGGACCCTGCCTGGACTTCACCACCAGTGTCACGACCGGCAGGGGCGTGTCACCGCATTCCTAAAACCCCGGGACTCCGCCCCCTTCCCGCGCGGCGGCCCCTTTAAGGGCGGGGMGGGGCCGCCMGGGGGCGGGGCTACCCRGGTGACGTCACCGCGGCCCCCSATAAAGGCGGCGGGATTCCCGGGGCGGCAGCGGCGGCGGGGCCACGTGCGCGGGGCGCGGCGGAGCCCCAGCCCAGGGAGCCCCAGCCCGGGGAGCGTCCTCGTCCTGCCGCGCCCGCCATGGAGTCCGCCGGCCTCTTCCCCCCGTTCCCCGCCGCCTCCCTCCCCGCGCGGCCCGCGCCCGCCCCGGCGCCCCCGCCCCGCGCGGCCGAGACCACCCGCATCATCACCGACCCGATCTCCGGCCGCTCCTACTGCAAGGGCCGCCTGCTGGGAAAGGTACCGGGAATGGGGGAAGGTACCGGGAATGCGGGAAGGGGGCTGGGCCGCCGCGGAGGGCGCTGGCTGCGTCGGGGTGAGCCGGGGAGGGGCGGGGGCTGCGCGCCTGCTCGACCCCGCGGCCCGGGGATGGATGCAGCCCCTCGGCTGCCGCCCGCCGCCCCCACTCTCCCCGCCTCTCCCGGCGGGCCCGCAGCAGCGCTGGAAGCAGTGAATCACCGGGGCTGGCTGCGTGCCTCGGCGGCTATCGGARCCTCATCGGTTTCGGGGCGCCCCGCGGGGTGTGCGTGGGCCGGTGGGTGCCCCGGTTCCCAGAGGTGCCGGCCCGCGCCGCTCTGCCGCACGCAACTTCTCCTCCGGCTGACAGCAGCGTGTGTAGGAGGAGGGTGCCGGTTCCCAGCCCGGCCCGAGCGGGCTCGGCGGCTGAGTGTGCAGATTGGAGGGTGACATCACGGCAGGAAAAACCTGTCTCCATGGGGCTGCCTTTCGATGGCCTCCGGTCTCCGGGCTTCCTGCCCTGCGCAGGACTTTCCAGGTTGATCTATCATGTGGAAAGATGCAAAGTCCGGCCATAGTGGGAGGAAAAATGCCCTGGAGGTTTTACAAGAAATGGGTAAAGAAAATGCCTGGTTGATAGCATCATAGTTCAGATCTTAGTGGGCGATGCAGCAGGAGGGAGTTCGTGACGCTCACCGGGCTGTGCTGCCAGGGAAGGGAGGAGGAGGCTGGTAAGCAGGCAGGGGTAGGAGCTATCTCTCACCCATCCGTAACCACCTCTTCCCTTGCAGGGTGGGTTCGCACGATGCTATGAAATGACAGATCTCTCCAGCAACAAAACCTATGCCGTGAAGGTCATTCCTCACAGCCGGGTGGCCAAACCCCACCAGCGGGAGAAGGTGGGTGCCGTGGGGCTGGTGGGGTGCTGGGCTRGTGGGGGGCAGCAGGGGCCCTGTGCTCACCTGGCACTGCCGCTCTCTTTCAGATCACCAATGAGATCGAGCTACATCGGGACTTGCACCATAAGCACATTGTCAAGTTTTCCCACTACTTTGAGGACTCAGAGAGCATTTACATCTTCCTGGAGCACTGCAGTAGAAAGGTCAGTGCTGCTGTGGCCTCCTTGTCAAAGGATCTCCTAAACAGCCATAGCTGGTTGGAGCAGGCCTTACCGAGGTGTTTTGTCAGCACTCCCCTTCTCCTGAGCTGTCAGCTCGGTCACACCCTCTGAGCTCACCATAAGCTGTGT